AACTCGCAAAAAACTCAATATTATGAGCTCAAATTTATACTGAGAACTATCAATGGTCAGATACATATTCAATAAAAATTTCAGTAAGATTGAGTGTTCTGGGGAAAAAAAAATTTAGAGGGGGGGGGTGGGCCTTAAACACATTTGTTTTTTTTTTCATTGAGTATAAATAACGGCCTATGCAATAAGTTTTGCAGAAAATGTCGAGCACTGTTTCTTCATGTTCACACTATTCTAGAGATTTCGTTTTTCATTTTTTGTTTGAAAGAGCAAAGTCTGAACGACAAAATATGCATTAAACAAAATTTTCTCTCTCAAAAATTCAAACACTATATATCACGAAACATGTTCTGCTAAATTGTCAAAATGTGCACTCTCTATCTTCTTCGAAAACGGTTCTTTTCTTGTTTAAAGATAAGTTTGAAGAATGACCGATTATTATATCTAAGAATGTTTGAAACACTCCTTCAAACAATGTTCAATAGTTTTTCTTTTTCTTTGGTTTTTGTGAAGAAAGAATCGTTTGTCTGATCACCGTTAAAAAATCAATTAGTCAGCATTAATTGCCAATTCTTGAATTAACAGATGAATTTTCTTCCAATTTTTGAACTAAATCTTGATCTAAATTCAATTTTTAACAATCTTATGTGAAAATCTCATTTAATTCCTGTTTTATGTGACGCCTCTGATGAAAGCCTTAAATGTTAGATGCAAAATCCTAATTTTCAAAAAAGCTGACTTTCAAAAAGCATTTCAGAAAACCACTAAAAAGGAACTTGAAAATTTTTTAAGGAAATCGGATCGATAGAATTTTTCACTAGCTATTTTTTCATGTATTTGGTTCCAGTAAAACATTATTATTTTTGACACCACTGAAAAGATTTTCTTGATATGTTTTAGTAAAATTTTACCAGAACATTTTTAGTGACATTTAGTGTTTGAATTTTTTCTCAATAAAGTTTTGCGAGAGAAAATTTTGTTTAATGCACATTTTGTAGTTCAGGCTTTGCTTTTCAAACAAAAAAACAGCGAAAATCCCCAAAATAGTGTGAACATAAAGTAACAGCGCTCGACATTTTGTGAAAAACTTTTGCATAAGCCGTTGGTACACAAAAAATATCCTAACTGTGCAGATCAACTTGAATATTTATTTAGTCTTTTGATAAAGTCGCTTCCACTTGGTCGTCTACATCCTTTCCGTTCGATTCTCGTATGTGTGCGTGTGCGTGAAGAAGACGTTAGTAGTTGTAGTCCCTTTCTCATCCCGAGGCGAGGAACTAAGGAGATATCAGCACAGATTATTTCTAAAACCCAAGTTAGTCCAAATCATTTCAGTCATACAGATCACTAGTCTCATTACTGAAATTAGCATTCTAGAGCTTTTATGTGTTTTCTTAACTACATTTGTGTTACTTATTCTTCGTAATTTGATTGATGATTTTCAAGCAATCTCCTGATTTAGGCTAGAATGGACTGATCGTGATTTCTTACCAAGAATGGGTGACCATGAATCTTGAAAATTTTTCAAGATCAGATCATTCTAATCTGAATCTTATTGATTGTATAGGGTCAGAATCTGATAAGACTGACCTGAAAATCAAAATCTGTCAAAAATGGTCTCAAGATTGTCGATTTGTGCTGTTGCCTGTCTATGATGAAATTGACCAATCATCAATTACCATAGACAGGCACCGGCAAAATCGACAGGCAAATTATACGTACCCATTTTATGCTGCTTTTCTCTAATAACAAGTGATAGAACGAAAAAAATGGCTGACAGAATTTGCTATATACACAATAATCATTTGGTTAAAAGCTTTTACCTTTTTGTTACTATTGTCAATATACATATACATACAGAAATGACTCGTGAAGATGTACAGGATTATTTTATAAAAAGTATATACGTGATACCAATGTATTTAATCAAATGATTATTGGTCTCTTCTGTTTAGTTATATTGATTGGTGATTCTGGCGTTGGAAAAAGTACTTTATTATCACGTTTTTCCAGAAATTCTGAAAATGAAGTTGGATTTGATTTTGCAACACGGTACTATAATTACTATAAACATCGTTCAAAAGATAATTTTGTTCTTTTTTTCTCTTAAAGAAGTATTCAAATTGATTCAAAAACTATCGGAGCATAACTATGTAATATAGGTGCACAGGAATATCATGATGTAATAACGAACGTGTATGTAATTCCGATCTTTCTTGCATTTTTCATTCTAAGTGCATTCAAGTATTGTGACAAGAACGATCTTTTGTTGTTAAATATCCTACGAATAATAAAGTTGTCACTGATTGAAGAAAAACTTGATTACACATGTTTTTTGCCTATAAAAATTTTTCAAACACGACGCATCTTTTGCCTGAGCATGCTAAATTCGTTCATGTTTTGAGTTTTAAACAGTCGTTCGTATTAATTCATGCTTTTCCTTGCTTAGATATTATCGTGATGCTATTGATGCTTTATTAATTTACGATATAAGTAAACGTTGTACGTATGCAAATATTGAACGATGGTTTAAAGAATTACGTGATCATGCTGATGCTAATATTATTATTATGCTAATTGGCAACAAATCGGATCTGCGACATCTACGCTCAGTTTCTAATGATGAAGAAAAAGAATTTGCAGGTAAATAAAGAAAAAGTTGACGAATGTTAATAATGAAGCATATTTAATTTACAAATTTATTTTTTATAGAAAAAAATGGTACATGGTTTATTGAAACATTTATTGAAACACGCCGTTAGATTCGACTAATGTCGAAACAGCATTTCATACAATTTTAATGGGTAACTTGAGAGAGTACAGGTTAATGCGAGTTGAATGGTATAGTTTACTCTGGTGTAAAACAAATCCAGGAATGCAGAACTTTTCGAATAAATGGTTTGACTCAAGCTTGTTGGAATAAATCTATAGACAAGTCGAACAGAACAAGAGTTTTCAAGAAAAATCGGCAGCAAAAGACTCAAATTTTTCATAGAACTCTTAATAGGAGAAAGACATACATAGGAAAGAAAGGTGTTGGATGCCTTTTCTGTACGATAATGCAACAGCTCTAATTATACGAAGAGAGTAATAGAATTATTTTCATTAATCTTTTTAGAAATATATCGTATTGTTTCACAACGTCAATTAACAACGATATCATCTTCAACATCTCCAATTAAAATAAAAATAAAATATTACATCGATGATAAAGAACCGGCATATTTATTAGAATTATGTCAGACATATCCTGTTAAACTGAAAGATTTTAAAACTGCGCTTGATCGTGATTGTAATAAATACAAATTTTTCTTTATGTCATTATATGATGATCCAATTGGAGAAGTTAGAAGAGAAATAACTGATAATGAACAATTATTACCCTATTATCGTGGTATAATAGTAGCATATCTTGAATCAATTCAAGGTAGTATAACATAAGTTTTTGTTTTAAATCTGCGTAAATGCCTATTCCGAAAATTCAAAAGGAGACTGCAGTGATGAGAATTATTTGAATTAAGTTGATCAGCTGATGATATCATATGGTGCAAAAGATACGCCTCTGATATCAACCCTCTTTCTTAGAATTTGTGCAGTATGTTCATAGGCGAAAGCGTTTGTAATGAGTCTATTCTGAGAATAATTATTGCAATCATTCTTATATTTTCTTAGTTGAAAAAAACTCGTAAAATATATACTGTTTTCTTTTTTTGCAGGTACTAGTAGTGGTAACCATCGTAAACGAAATCTAGACGAAATGTTAGATCATTTATTACTTGTTGTGAAATAGACAGCGGATTTCCTTTCTACAGAATAAGTTCTTTCTTCAGTAAAAACGCTCGAAAAAGTAGCTCTTTTTCCTTGTTGTGCTGAGCGACTAATCACACAAACGGCGGGCAATCTTTCTCGGTCTTCTACTCTGGTTTAGTAAAAGACCATACTTCTTATGCAATGATTCTTAGAGGCATTAGATTACAATAAGAGAAAAAAACGTGTACTATGTAAACTTTTTTTTTAAAAGAATTTTGTGCATCGCTCAAAAGAGTGCTAACTTAAAAAATATATTGATAGTGTGGTGAATGAAAAAATCTCTAAATAATTGTTTTATTAATTTGTTTAGCAAATAGTTTAAAACGAAAACAAAATACCAGTGATTACACGTTATCAGTGCCAATAGAATATATTGATGAAACTAAATTATGGAATGAACATGTTATCAACAAAAATATTCAATGTAAAATTGTTAATAATGATGATATTTTAGAACAATTACGTCCCTTAGTGTTAGAATTGAGATGGTTAAAATTTCATATGGATTCAACTAGTATCGAACTAAAACAACTAAAACAAATGAGAAAAGAAAGAAAACAAAAAAAGGAAAAACACGACTTAGAAGTACCATATCATCCCTATTCGTTGCTGTTTTATCAAGCAGCGAGTGCTGGTCAGAATTCTATATCATTTTTAAAAGAAGATTTTAATGATTCAACGCGTGAAGATATAAGATGTATCGTTGGAGACGAATTATTTGTTGTTCCGCAAGAAATAAAATCACATTATCATTGTAGAACAGATAGGAATCATGAAGGAATAGATGGAAATTGTGAGGCATTTGGAAAGTTATTAAAATTAGTACTGAAAAGATTAAATGAATCGAATCATAAATGTTCGCGTTTAGACAATAAAGATGAAACACGTATCTTATGTACATTCATGAGTCGTATACATTGTGTTTGGTTTATTGATTTTATATGTAAATTTGAGAATGATGAATGGAACTTATCCAAATGTTTTGTTTATCCACAGTTTCCTGTACCAGATCAAGTGCCTATCGGAGAATTATGTTCATTAAAACTGATTGATCACAATGATTATGGTGCATTAGAACATTTATTGCCAACTTTACCAACAATGGGATTTAAATTATTAGTACAATATATTGAAACATTGTGTACAAGATATAATATAAAAAAATGTGGCATTACGTTTCTATATAATAATGGAATTCATAAAATGATAAATGGTAAAATCGAAATTATTGAACAAACAAGAAAATCAATTATATTGGTAGAAAAAGATGAAGATAAAAAACCAAGTGAAGCATCAGCTACAGGTAGAAATACTGAGAATCTTACTACAGATTCGAGATGTAATGTCACTTTAACTCGACTTGCCCTTTCTAGTACTTAATACAACCGATATAAAGAATCAATGTATTTCTGTTCAAATTGTTTTTCAAAAACCGTATTTCCAATCTAAATCATCCTAAAGTTGCACTCTCATGAGATTTAAAAAATTGGGCCACAAAAGTTTAAACCTTTTTCTTTTTGATTCTTTTCGATATCTACAAAAGCTCTAAAGGAGGTTTGAAGTGTGGCATGTATAGACGATATCTCGGCCTTTGATATTCATATGAGAGGATCTTTATCAGAGAGAAGCTGGATATTTCAAAAATTAGAATATTTTTACTCCAATTGACAAAAATGTAGCCCTTTTTTCTTCTTCATGATAATTTGACCTAGACAAAGTTTGTTAAATAAAAAAACATATATCCTATGGTAGAGAATTCTACGCTCTACATTTTGGCAAAAATATTTTTTCAAGTCTGCTTTCAGGTCATTTAATTTAAATGTTTTTGCCAAGCGTTTGATAAGCTGCGTTTGGAATTTGCTTCATCAGTTTCCTTTTGAAATTATAGGAATAGTCATAAACGGTCTGCATGACAAATTGAGATCTTTTTTTCAAAAAAAGCTTACGAAGTGACATGAAAGGATTAGTAATGCCCATAAAAGAGCTTCATTCTCTGATATACAGTTCTATAAAGATTTTTAGCAAAATCAGACAAAACTTTAGAAATGTGAGAGAGATTTAATGAGACAAGATTTGTCTCATTAATGTTTTATTGTGCACTGCGCCATAAATGTCACATGTTTACAGATTTTTGTGGCCAATATTTGTTTAAATAAACATTCAAAAAACGTTGAAATTGCTTCCTATTGAGCGGCTGTTCTACAGTATTATGCATTTACCTGTTTTGGGGCTCACTCTTACAAATATTTGTTTAAGGTGATAATGGACAAAATAGTATTGGGTCAATTATTAAGATATCAAAATATCAATTAATCAGAAATGAAATGAATGCTCATAAAATATTAGATGGACACCCACATGTTCGTTCAATGTTAAATTTAGAATCATGGGGTGTAGTAACAGGATGTGGTGCGAATATTTCATTTATAGAACTTAGTGGCTTTGGTATTCCATTAAATAGTGGACATTTAACAAGTAATGAAAATTTTGAAAAGTATTTTACACAAACAAAATTAGCTATTGAACATATACATAAACAAAAGTATCTGCATCGAGACATAAAACCGACAAATATAATTATTATTAATGACAACTTAACATTAAATGATTTTGATGTATCATGTCGTATGGATGATTATGAAAAAAGAAAAATTTCTGTTGGTGCAAGGAAATATTCATCACCATTACATCAGAACGGTTCATTATATAGAGAAGAGGATGATTATTTAAGTTCATTGTTAACATTTATTTCGTTTAGATATGATTATGATGATTATTCGAATGAGAACAAAATAAAAGTATTAAATGATACACTAAGAAGAACGTTTATACCTGATACTATAAAAGACGAAATAAGAATAATACTGAATATTAAATAAAAATTCGATTCTGAACAACTTTTGTACCCAAAGTCTTGCTTCAAAATGCTTGCTTCGAGCGAAACTAGCCGTAAGGCTTTTTTCAAAATACTTTTAGCTCTAAAATTTCTTCGGGAAGGTGAAAGTTAAATTTCTCCGTCAAACTTCATTTGGAAACGATGTAAAGTTTTTCTCCTTATACAAGTTAATGTTCTCTATTGACCTACGCCAGAATCAACTCTTCATATCAAAAGCTGAAGTTTTTATTGAAATTTTAAAAATAGGGCAAAAAACGCGAAAAAAACTTCCAAATTTTTTTAATGAAAAACTACAAATCGGGGAACTGAAGGCTTTGTTGAGACGTATACTCCTAAGTGTCCTCTACAAACTGGTGAAAAAAAACGGGTGGGAGAACCCCCCTTAAGTGATGTGTTTTTATCGTTTTTCTCTATGTTTATGTATATGTGTTATCTAAATGAAAAGTGTTTTTTTCAAAATAGAAAATATGAATAAACAACGTGAATTGGATATAAAACAGTGTTCAACTGTGATACCTAAACGCGCAATTGATTATTATTTGCAGTCAGATTTAGAATCAAAAATTGGCACCTCAGCACTATCAAAAATTGGCATCGCAGCTTTTTTCAAAAATTAGCACTATCATTGTAAATACAATGAAATGGCTCTATTATTAATTCAATTCGTTAACGTTGATGAGCAACAAACAACAATGCATCTGAGATCGTTGTTTCCCTATTATTGAAAGAATGAAGAAAAAAATGTCAACCCAACATGTGTACCGCAAGCATCAATGGCTGATGTCTTCTTAACTGTTAAGATAATAGAAATGAAAATCACACTAGACTTCATCCTTTACGTAGAGCAGAATGAAGATTAATTAATTTTTTAGCATTAAGATAGTCGGAATCTTTTGTTACACACCACAGATAGAGAAACTTCTATTAAGCATACTGTTTCTACTCGTTGTATAAAACTGCGCATACTACTTACAGAAAGCAATTGTTTGTCAATATAAACAATAGTGGCACAAGATTTTTCTAATTTGTGAGTAATAGGTGAAATTTTTTATAATAAATGCATGACACAATAGACCAGATAGAATAAGGAGTATATAAATAAATGTAAAGAAAGAAAACATTTTGGTACGGTGATATTTTTCAAATGATAATAGTGAACCATTCGGATTATTATCTTCATGATTGTTGCTCAATTTTGATTTTAGAGTTAATGTAAGCCAATTAATATGTTTTGATGTTAAATCGATAAGACTTCGTTCACATAATAATCGAGTCAATGTAATAGTACCTGAACAAAGAAAAGAGAAGGTTATAGAAAAGAAATTTTTTAGATTTGAATTTCTTCTTAACAAGTGTCATCAATTTTTTCTATGTAAAACAAAAATTCTATATAAACTAAAAAAAAATGTTAAGTAGCTAATCTAAATGCTTTTCAACATGATATTGTGCTTGTATTCTTGCTAATTGATCTATCATTGTATTTGTTAATGGTAATAATGTTGTTAATTGTTCATATATATTTGTTGTAAATAAAAAATACGTAGAATTTTTTATTTTTTTATTATTCCAAACTGAATGAAATTCATAAAATTCTGTATTATGTTTTAAATATTCATAAATATTTAATGATACATGTATTCGATTTTGAATACAACATTCATTACGTAACAATTGTGCTTTGTCAACTATTTCGCCATCAATAAATAAAATTTTATCATCTTTATTATGTTTGTTTTAATTGTAATAAGTTCGCCTGTTTCAATCCCAAATGTTGTTGACAATGACCATTGTGTAACATTATTGACATGTGCTATAAAACGTAGAATATCAATTACTAATAGACAACATTTTTCAGTTGTTTGTCTATCATCTTTATTAATTATTGTAAATAGAATATCTTCATTATCAAATGTAAAATAATCAACGTTTTGTTTCAATAGTATTTGTTCACTTTGACAATATAAAACGTCTAATAATGTGGCAATTTCTTCATTTGTATGTAAATTACAATTTTCATTTATTGTTATATTACACACTACACATATACCAAATGATTTTTCACAATAACAATCACTATTTGTTTCATTTTTATGATTTGTATCACCATTAGTATAATGAAAATCTATGAACCAATACTTATCAACTGATGGATTAATATATTGACTGTTAAATTACAAAAAAAAAGATGAAAAGATGTTACAGTTCAAATAGACCGACCATCTTAGTGTTTAGATATTGACGTGTGTGGATGTTAATTTTATATAGCCCGTAGTTAATTTCTATATATTATTTGTAATTTTTTACAATCAACATTAATTTTGTTTTTTTCATGAAAATTTTTTTCATATAGTTGCAAAATAAAGTCAAATATGTTTGAGTAAATAAACATAATTTGTAATTCCAAACAGATTAATGACGATATGATAAACTAGAAGAAATATAATTTCACCACTTTGAACACTTGCTGCTACTGATGATGTTAATGATTTTAAAACGAATGTCAGTTGAATAGTCGAAACAGCAGCACCATTTATAATACATTGTACAAGTTTAAATGAAAATACTGAATAGATAAGCGTGATAGCCAGAGTCGAATGTACAAGTGAATAGGATTCAAGATGTGAATACAAGATCTTAGCACAAATTCAAGAATAGTCTAAAAATCTGTATGTTTTAGTGGTTAGAAGCAAAGATACGTAAGTCTAGGCATATAATGGTTTTAATATGTCTTGAACAATAAAGATACGTATCATTAATTAAATCACAACGATTTGATTCTTGCATATGGATACCTTCCGTGATTTCATTTCTTGTAAATATGAACATACATAATTGTTTCACAAAAGAAGATAGTGTTGTTTTTTTCTTTTTTGTATAAAAGCAAATTTTTATTTTTATAAATCTAAACGGAAAAAACTTTTTAGACTTACTAGAACAGCTGGGAATTTTTATTCAATTTCAAACATAAATAAGAACTGAATACACATACTATTGGTTCTTGTTTTGTATTACTATTTGCTGCATTTACTGATGGATTTGAACGCATTTCCTAAAATATGTAGAAGCATCAAGTTTTGTCATGAAAGTAGATTTTATAAAATAAAACGTGTTCGACGCTATTATGTGTATTTTAAATAGAATAACTCACTTTTCACGTGTGTTTATAACAAAACAGAAACACCATATATTCTCGCAAGAAGATTTTATAATAATTTTGTTCATCTTATTACTCTTATTTTTGCAGATAACTCTTTATTATTTGAATAGATGAAGAAGACTTTGCTCTTCAAAACTATAATTAATTAAAATTAATTAGCTAATTAGTTAATCGATTAGAAGATAATTAGCGAATAGCGGCTCGAAAACTAGTTTATTTGCTCAGAAAATTTCAGAAAATGTTTCTAGTACTAGCGCGCATCTACTGCAAAATTTTTAGCAAAATTGGAGACATTCATCTATCATACCAAAAAAAGGGTTTTGTAGAGATCTCCGAGAGACCTAGTTGAAAAACTTATATTCAGTTACCATGTAGAGATCCTTACGTATCACTTCTATTCAGTAGAAGTCTTACAGGTGACAAGAATGTAATAGCAATGACTTTTTTCCTTTTTGATTTCGTACTCTGTCACGTCCGTAACAACGGCTTAAAATGAATTCCGGCACCAAATATACAAATTATTTAGAAAAATCGTTGCTACCACTTTTGTAGCCCGTAGTCTCCTTTACAACATACAATTCGAAAAATCTACGACATACTTTATCAGTTTCAGAATTTCGAGAGATAGTCGCATGCACTAAAACAGCTGCTCTTTTTCAGTCACGTCCGCAACGACGTAGTTTTTTGCGAAAAACGTAACCTTAACAAGTATCCTCGGAATCCATTTTTTCCTGGCATAGTTAGCAACCTAATACACGTTTCTGGTACAAATAGCATCACTAAAAAGTTTAACACTTCAGATATATACTGACTCAAAGTTTACGAACGTCATGTCCCTCAACGCCAGTTGTTGAAAGACTTGGACTTGAGTGTCTTTCATCAAGTCTGGTTGCAGTGTAAAATAATCGCACGTTTAAACCTTGCTAACCTGACGGTTTCAACGCCAAAAACTGACGCTTTTTTAAGCCTGACGTTTTATCCGTCCTAACCTGACAGTTTTTCCAACCTGATCGTTAAAATGCCAGCTCACTTCAGACATTTCCTCATTTCGATACTTCGACATTTAGAAATTAAGAAATTTAGCAGCTCTAAAATTTAGAAATTTAGTCATCTAGAAGTTCAAAACTTTAGAAATTTAGAAACTTACGAATTTAAACACTTAGAAATTTAGAAATTTAAAAATTTAGAAGCTCTTAAATTTAGAAACGTTCAACTTTAGGAATTTGGAAATTTAGAAATTTACGAATCAAGAAGTTCGGCAGTTTAGAAATTCAGAAATTTAGAAATGTAGAAATTCAGAAATTTGGAAGCTCTTAAATTTAAAAATTCAGTCATCTAGAAGTTGAGAACTCTAGAAATTTAGAAATTTAGGAATTTAAACATTTAGACTTTTAGACATTTAAACAATTAGAAATTTAGAAAATTAGACATATAGAAATTTAGAAATTTTGACATCTAGAAGTTCGGAAGTTTAGAAATTAAGAAATATAGGAATTTACCAGTTTAGAAATTTACGAACTTAAAGATACAGAAATTTAGAAATTCAGAAATTTGGAAGCTCATAAATTTAAACATTTCGACATTTAGGCTTCTAGAAGTTGAGAACTTTAGACGTTCAGATATTTAGAAATATAGGCATCTAGCAGTCGAGAACTTTAGAAGTTTAAAGATCTAAAAATTTCGACATTTGGACATTTAGAACTTTCAAAATTTCGAAATTTCGACATGTAGAATTCGGGAAGTTTAGAAACTTAGAAATTTAGAAATTTAAGCATCCAGAAATTGAGAACTTCAGAAATTTAGAAACTTACGAATTTAGACATTTAGAAATTCAGGCATGTAGAAGTTGAGAACTTTAGAAATTTATGCGTCTAGAAGTTCGGAAGTTTAGACACTTAGAAGTTCAGAAATTTAGACTTTTGGAGCTTTAGACCGTTAGAAATTTAGAAATTTGAAAATTTAATCATCTAGAAGTTGAGAAATTTAGAAATTTATATATGTTGAAATTTAGAAATTTGGAAAGGTAAAACGTTAGACATGTAGAAGTTCGGAAGTTTAGAAATTTAGAAGCTCAGAAATTTAGACATCTGCAAGTTGAGAACTTTAGAAGTTTAGAGATTTAGAAATTTAGAAATTTGGAAAGGTAGAAAGTTCGGAAGGTTAGATATTTAGAAGTTCAGTAATTTAGCGATCTACAAGTTGGGAACTTTCGAAGTTCAGAGGTCTAGAAATTTAGACATTTGAAAATTTAGAAATTTTGGCATGTAGAAGTCCGGAAGTTCAG